GCTGTTAAGTTGCACATGGCAACTCCAGGTGAGGAGCTCACAAAGTCAAGGGACAACCGCAGGGTGACTACTCAACAAAACCAACCAAGTACACAGCTTTTAGAGTACATAGTCTAGCCTGAGTAAGTTCTGAAGCCAATGAACCAGGTCATCAGGTATAGGGTAAATTGGTGTCCTTCCATTAAAATATATTGTCTACTGGATTAGGAAATAAGGACGGAGCACAAAAATGACACTGTCTTTATTGATACACAAGACTCATGAGATGGTGAAATAAACTGTGTCTTCGGATGGAAATACAGTTTGGGAACAGGAACATGAAACCCATAAGTGCAGAGCCCTCTTTCTATCTATCTTGTGTTTTGCTAGCAGCAGCAATGGGTGCGTACAGTAAGAGAGAGATGGACGGAGGTAGCTTGGGAGTGTAAATTTGCTGCACTCTTTTGACAGTGACACGTATATACTGAATACCTCAAACATACAATATCCTTTGAAATGTGGCACTCTAGCAGAGTGGCAACTACATTTCTACAAATGTGGTCCTGACATATCAATTGCAAGTGAATAAACATTGAACCAGTTCCTTCAAACACAGTTTCACTCCCTGTAGTATATAATGGAGTTCCAGGTATGAAAGAGTAGGAAAAACATGCTCTGCAGTAACAGATATCCTTACAGAGTCTGTTGGTATTGCAAATAAACAATACTCAAGCCTGATAGCTAGAGTTGCAGTAATTCTATTAGATCTGGCCTTGAAAATAGCTTTCATAAAAAGAGTACTGAATACAGACTACATGCATTTTGGTCTTTAGTGCCTACATAAAGGCATCTAGACACTTAGAGATTTAGTGGAATTTTTCACATTAGTGGCTGGCTCTGAATCAAATCAATGACATTTAAGCATTTCCATGCTACAAAGAAAAGGTGGCTATCTTGTTTTTTTAAGAACTTAAATACATTTGCGAGCCTGATCTTTCATATTTTTAATATCATTATGTGCAGAGGAATTTGGGCACTGACATTTCTATTCCCTGAGATGTTCCAATCCTTCCATAAAAAAAATCAGAACAAAATATCTACATTTTGAAATGTGCCTTAGCATGAATTTTCAAAGTAACTTCTATACATGACCATAAAAATATCTTGGTTTCATGCTGCTATATTCCAGTTCTTTGGAGTTCTACTTTGTGGTAAAATTTTAATATATGTAATAGTCTGAAACAAGTACTTTTAAAAACAATTTTTAAAAGAACAGAAAGCATAACTAAACAATGTATTTCTATACTGTTACAACTGAATTTTTCAATATAAATTTACCCTGCTTATGGGAGTACAGGTATGTACCAATGTACAGGTAAGTCATGGGTAATTTCTGATAAAATACCACTTTAGACATATTTGCTGAAATACAGATGTAGCAAAACAACAGGACTTTGAGATTATCTTGCTCTTTTTTATCATTCTGCTATAAGAGTTAAAAGAACCGTCAGTGCATGGGATAGCAAGCATCAATAAGAAAGGCCGGCAAATGTAGTCAGTATGTTTGCTTCTTCATTTTAGTAAATTATCAAAGACCGCGTATCTTTGCATCTTTTTATTTTTGCTTTTGTAAAGACTTAGACAAATTTACTCTTTGCACTCACATTGGAAATTGCCAGTAGCCCACAGCAAGGCAGCATGGCTGTCCGTATTATTTCCTGTTTTATGCAGTGGTGCTTCAAGAATATTGAACGATATGTAAAATTTTTACGTTCTCAAAATCTGAAGGGGATTATTTCAACCTCATAGGAGAACTGTGCATAAAAAGGCAATGTTTTCCTCCAAGCAATGTGAACTAAGAAAGAATATATAAATACAGCCTGAGACCAATAAATCTGCAACTGCAAATCCACTGTGGCAGTAAATGGTTTCCCTTTAATAATGAAATACCACAGTGGCAAAAATAAATATATAATTCAGGCTACCCCAACCATTATTGGACTACAAAATAACGGTATTTTAAAACAGAGAGTCCTTTCATTCTCTAGAGTGCTCTTTGGTCATGTTTCAAGTTTTCTTCTGCAACTAGGAGGGCTTAAAGCTTACTTGAAAAAATGTGGAAAGTGAGACTGTCACACAGTCACTTGTTCTGTGGCTCAAAGTGAAACTCCAGATATTCCAGCACTGGCAGTAATACCACAGTTGGCAGCAGTACCAGTGACCAAATTTCTCTTTATAAAACAAAGCACAAGTTGGAGCTGAAGCTAAGTTTCTTGGTTTGAGGAAAGAAAGAAAAACATTTATTCAATAAAGGAAAACTTATTTGCCGGTAGGGAGAAAAACAGAAGATTTCTGTTCAGTGAACACATACAGGAATAATCTTTTGCTACAAAGATTGCTGGAAGTTTCTAAAATCTCAAATGATTCCTTTTTAAAGGAAGAAAAAAATGTTTCCATTGACAAGGGCTGTGAATCTCTCTTCTACAGCTCAGACACTGCAAGCCAGAATCTACAACTCAGCTTTGGCCAGAGTTTTTCTTTCAGTGACTTACTTAAGCTGCTCTCCTTCTATTCCTGTTATTACTTACTGTGCGTGCTGCTGCTATCCATACCAGGTTTGATCTAGCAAAAGTTCGCTGCTTTTGATGTTGACATGAGCAAGTATTGTAGAGGGGCACAGTTCTCTCGATGCTCAGGGAGGCAGTAAGTTGCCTTAGGACTCTCTGAGGTACAACTCGAGTTGCATGACGTGGTATAAGGCAAAGACACTTGGCCCTTTCTCTTTCTTTCCCTCCCAACCCCTTGCATGAGGCTGGGGAGCCCTTTCCACAATCGTACCTGTGCTATGGGTAGCTACTGCAGGGTTACAACACTTTGTGCCCTTTCTGACTTCAATGAGTTGCAGGTAACCACCACCGTCACCTTCAGCAGCAGCAGCGCACTGAGGACTCCTGGGGATGCTGCTACTCAGATGAACAGCACTGAACCAAATCAATACTCTTGTAGGCATTCAGATAGTTTCTCTGGGTCTCAAAACACACGGAAAGTATGCTGTCCTCAGGCCTCTTAGATTTTGCAGAGGTCAGTAAAATAATATTTCTTTCTGCATCCTTCTTCAGAATTAACATTTCAGGTGGTGGTTTGGCAATGCAGTACATAAAAGGTTAGAGTCGCTCTTACCACATCAGAAACACCACTAACCTGGGATGAATTCACTCTCCATGTTCAGATTTATCTTTTTGCTTGAAGGCTTTCTGCTGCGGTAGTTACTGCTTTTCTAGCCCATTCTAACTTTAGGTCCTATGTCAGCACAAAACTAGCATAAAAACAGCACTGGCACTAACTCCCTGCCATATGCTCCGATCAACTTGACAAAAGTGTCGTTGTGTGACCGACCCCTACTCTGACTCAAGTTTGTATTACTGTGTCATTCTTTCCAATGATGGTGAAAACACAGTCTTGCTAAGGAGAACTCAACATTTGTATCTCCCATGGATGCCAATACCTAAGTTTGTCCAAATGATGTGCCAGAAAGTCATTGGCTACCATCAGATTTTTGTTGAGCACCATCTTCTATCACCTGCAATAGGCAGAGGATGCGTTATAGCCTTAAGATGTAGAAACGTAATTTCTTTATCTAAACAAAAGTTATTCCACACACGGTGCTGAGCTGCTACCGTTTTCCTCATCCCATGAATAATACAATACTGTTGTTGGAAGCACTGTGGCTTAGCTCCTGGGAGTTCCTGCATGCGAAGCTGTTCCAAAACTTGTCCTTATGGCGAGAAACAGTCATGAGGGAAAAAAATATCTTAACTACTGCAATAAGTAGGCTTGACTATTTAATGAGTCAGGCTGCTTGTGAGGTCAATTTTTCCACCAAATTTTCCTGAGAGTTGACAGAGAGGGAGATGAGCAAATATACCACACTGCATTCTTGTAGTGGTTGAAGTTTTGTGATCAATTGCCATCAGCTGCCTTGAAGCATTAAGGCACAGAGCTCAAGAGTATTACGAGATCATGTTTTGATAGCCCTCAACCCTAGAGCTCTGCTCGTGTTTCTTCCATAGAAGTCAGAGAAATGGCTGTGAGAAGGAGGGATACCAAAGTTTCCCAGACCAGCAGGTCCTGAGGTGAAGAAAGCAATTCTGTGCTGGCTTATTAGCAGCCCAGGTAAGAGGCTTGCTCTGGGGACTATATTCCCATCCTATGGCACAGCAAGAATAAAAAAAACCTTTCCATTACTAATTAAGCAGGCACAGTCAAGGCTAGTTGCAATTTTTCAAATTAAGGAAAAAAAGCCCAGTTTTCATTTAAAGAAAAAACCACACTCTCCAGCTCTAACTCTGTGGAGCCCAGAGCTGCTCCCTGCTGGGGCACCTTGCTGGAGCCACATCCTCCCCTGCGCTGATGCCCCCTCACATCCTCTTGGTTGCAGAATGGCAGCTTTCTCAGGGAGGCACTCTCTCTGCCTTTAATGTGAAACAGCTGTGATTTTCACCAAAGCCACTTTACACAACACAAAGAAGAGCCAGGTGAGGGCTCCTGTTGCTTGTTTTGTTCCTCCGTTTCTGGCTGCATTATCCCCCACTACCTGGGCTCCTTTGCTGCTCACAAATGTTCCCTTTAAAAGTATTCCCAGCTACAGTATGGAAGTTGGTGATGTATAGCGTATTTTAAAGAAAGATTTGCCTCTGTTCAAAAACCTTCCTGACCTCGTGGCCGAAGAAGAACAAAATAACGTATTAACAAAAACACAGTTCACTGCCAAAGAAAAGGAGTTCCTGTAAGGACTGAAACAATAAATCTCCTCCGTACTGAACTCCCAGAGGGAGTATGTTGTATTTCCTCCTGTTCTTTATC